CGCGACCCGTCGACTCCTAGCTCGGCCCGCCCGTCGCCCCTAGACCCAGGCCCGCCAGTCGACCCTCCTGCCCCACGCGCCCGCCCGTCGACCCTAGCCCGCCCCGCCCGTCGCCCCTAGGCCCAGGCCCGCCCGTCGACCCTCCTGCCCCACGCGCCCGCCCGTCGAACCCTAGCCCGGCCCGCCCGTCACCCCTAGGCCCAGGCCCGCCCGTGGACCCTAGGCCCCGGCGCGCCCAGTTGACCCTAGGCCCGGCCCGCCCGTCGCCCCTAGGCCCTCCGAGCCGCCCCTTGCGACCCGCGTACCGCCCCTAGGCCAGTAGGCCGTCCCTAGGCCCGGCCCACCCGTCGCCCCTAGGCCCTGGCCTGCCCGAGGCCTCTGCGGCCCGCCCCTCACCCCTGCAGCCCACGAGCCGCCCTTGCAGCCCCGCGCGCCGCCCCTAAGGCCCTCTCGCCGCCCCTGCTGCCCTGCTAGCCGGCCCTTGCGACCCTCTCGCAGCCCCTGCCGCCCCGCGCGCCGCCTAGCTTGCCTTCTATGACTTCTCTTCGTCGTAGCGGTGGGAGTGGTGACGGTGGTGGTGGCAGCAGTGGGAGTGGTGGCGGCCGTCCTCGCAGTTCCTGTGGAGCTGTTTGGTGGGGAGTTTCTGGCAGTGGCCAGATGCGGCTGCAGCAGCGTCAGCGCGAGTCCCTTCCACCCCAGCAGCTACGTGAGTGGTACGCTAGTAGGAGTGGTGGCGGCGGCAGTAGTGGCAGTCGCTGTGCGGCTGTTTAGTTGGGAGATTTTGGCGGTGGCCTGACGCAGCTGCAGCGGCGTCCGAGCGAGACCCTTACGCCTCAGCAACTTCGTGAGTGGTACGTTCAGCGTGGGCCGTCTCGGAGTAGTGCTCGCTGCCCGTACGTCATTCGCACAGGTGATCGGGCTGGTCAGACTTGCGGGACAGTTGGTCTCACACAGTCTCGCTACTTCTCCTGTCTGAGCGACACCTGGCATGCAGAGTTTGGCGACGCGGCTGACCTTCCCCGCTGGCTAGAGCTGTTTAGGCAGGGTGTGGATATCTTTGCTCTAGACTATGATGCTATCCTCACTGCCATGTATGCTTTGACTCTTGGTACTGAGAGTGCCTGTTCCCTGTGTGTGCTGCCTGACCCAGGTATAGAGGCTGCTGCTCTAGGTGCTAGTGAGTCTGCTCTCCCTGGTACTGTGCCTGCTGAGGCCTTGCACACCTTTACGCTTGACTCAGGTGCTTCACGCTGTTTCTTTCGCGACAGCACCACCCTCACTCCTCTCTCTGCACCTGTACCGGTCAGACTGGCTGACCCCTTAGGGGGCCCAGTCCTTGCCCATTCCTCCACTGTTCTCCCGTGTACGGCGGTTCCGTCCGGCTCACTGTCAGGTCTTCACCTCCCCTCGTTCTCTATGAACTTGGTGATTACCGCTGCCCTCCACGATGCGATGGTCACTACCACCACTCCTGGGGGTCAGCGTGTGTCAATCTGCACGTGTACACGGACGGGCCGTTACCTGGCCACGTTCACTCGTCGGCCAGGGTCGAGTCTGTACACACTGGCTACCGAGCCTCCTCAGGTAACTGCGTCAGCCCAGTTGTCCGCGTCAGGTCAGGTAGCACCCCCTTGCTCGTGTCGCCTCCTGTCGCACCAGACTCTCCTGTGGCACCACCGCCTTGGTCACCCCTCCCTGCCACGCCTGCGTGGCATGCACTCCCGCCTCCTTCTCTCTGGTCTTCCCAAGTCTCTGCCTCCACTATCGCCCACCGTGCTACTTTTTGCTGGTTGTTGACGACTACACGCGGTACACCACGGTCTTCCCCTTGCGCAGCAAGGGTCAGGTCGTTGATGTCTTGATACCTTGGATCCGCGCTGTCCGTCTCTTGCTTCGCGAGCGTTTCCGCTAGGACCTTCCCGTCCTACGTCCGCACTCTGACAGAGGTGGTGAGTTCTCCTCCGACCTCTTGCGGGACTTTTGTCGTGGGGAGGGCATTCTCCAGTCGTTCACGCTTACGGACTCCCCTCAGCAAAATGGGATTGCCGAGCGCCGCATTGGCTTAGTCATGGAGGTCGCTCGTACCTCCATGATCCATGCGGCTGCTCCTCATTTTCTGTGGCCTTTTGCGGTCCGGTATGATGCGCATCAGCTCAACCTTTGGCCCCGTGTCTCCTTGCCGGAGACCTCGCCTACACTATGTTGGACGGGGAAGGTAGGCGATGCATCGGTGTTCCGGGTCTGGGGTTCTTGTGCCTTTGTTCACGATACGCCCGCGGACAAGCTCTCCGCCCGCGCTATTCCCTGCGTCTTCCTTGGCTTTTCCCCTGACGCGCCTGGCTGGCAGTTTTACCACCCCACCTCACGCTGTGTCTTCCCCTCTTAGGACGTCAAGTTTGACGAGTCGGTTCCCTTTTACCGTCTCTTCCCCTACCGCTCTGCCCCTCCCCCACCCCCGCTGCTCTTCCTTGCTCCAGGTCCCCCTCTGGTAGACCCCCTCCCCCCCCAGGGTCGTGCTCCCTCAGGTGTGTCTCAGGTAGACCCTTTCCCTGGTACTGCGCCTGTTCAGGTAGCTGTCGGCTCAGGTGCTGGTCGAGGTGCTGCGTTTGGGGGTGCGGAGCCTGGGGGCCCTGAGTCTGAGGGTGCTGGGTCAGGGGGTGCTGAGCCTGGGGGTGCTTATCCTGGGGGTGCTGAGCCTGCAGGTGTGGAGCCCGGGGGTGCTGAGCCTATTGGTGTTGAGCCTGGGGGTGCTGAGTCGGAGGGTGCGGAGTCTGGGGGTGCTGAGCCTCGGGGTGCTGCTTCGTCTGGAGGTCCTGCTGGTGCTTCGCCGAGACTGTCTCCGCTGCCAGAGACTCTCTCCCCGCAGCAGCTGCGTGAGTGGCTTGTTCGGCACGCACGCCTTCAGAGTGGAGCTACCGGAGCTGGAGGCACTAGCGACGCCGGAGCTGGAGGTGCTGGAGTTACTGCTGGAGCTGGTGGTACTGGAGGTACTGCGGCTGCTGGTCCTGGAGGTGCTCGTACCTGGGGTACTGGAGCTGCCGGGACTGGTGGTGTTGGGGGCGCTAGAGCTAGAGACCCTACGGAGCCTAGAGCTGCTGGGGCTGGAGGCACTGGAGCTGGAGGCACTGGTGCTGGTGGCGCTGGAGCTGGAGAAGCTGAAGCTGGTGGCACTGGCGCGGGCGGCGCTGGAGCTGGAGGAGCTGGAGCCGAAGGCACTGGCGCGGGAGGCGCTGGAGCAGGAGGAGCTGGAGCTGTTGACCCTGGAGGCACTGTGCGGCCGCGACCATACTTCGTTCCCCTGCTTCAGCAGGTTCTTGGTGTCCCGTCTTCTACTAGCCTTACTCCTCCCCTACTGTGTCCACCGCCTGACCATTCGGAACTGCCGTTGCAGCCAGCCTCCCAACTGCCTGCTCCTTCTCCTTACACTGAGTAGTCCGGCGGTCTTACATAGCGTCGTGAGCCTGCGTCTCGTCCTGTCTCGCCTGTTCGCACTGCTCGTCGCGTTCCTCGTTCGCGTCCTCCTCCTGTCCCCGGCACGCACGCTATGGCACTTCGTCCTTCCTCTGTTCCACTGCGTGTTCCTCTGCCGTCTCCTCGTGAGTCCTCTCTTCCTGCTGTCCCTGACCCTGAGTCTGACCTTGTGCGTGCTGCCAGTCCCACTATCTCTCGTCTCCTTGCCACTGTTGTCACTGACCCTTCTTTTGAGTCCACTGCTGCGTCTGCCCTCGTTGCTGAGCTGCTTGACTTTGCTGCTGCCTGTCGTCTAGACTACGCCACTGCTCTTGTTGCTGAGTCTGCGTGTGCCAGTCCTCCGTCCATCGGGGGTGAGTGTGCTCTTGGAACGGACGTCCTTGAGGACAGGCAGGAGGACTTTGAGTGTCTTGCAGCTGCTGTACCTCGTTTCGCGTCCATGCTGCTTGCCCCTGAGGGAGACCCGGATGCACCAGACATCCCGACCCCGCGCTCTTATGTAGAGGCGATTACGGGTCTTTACTCCTCTCAGTGGCAGGCAGCCATGGATGCCGAGATGGCATCCTGGAAGTCCACAGGCACCTACGTCGACGCAGTTCCCCCGTCTCGGGCGAACATAGTCGATGGCATGTGGATTTTCAGGGTGAAGCAGAGGCCGGGTTCTCCGCCTGCCTTCAAGGCGCGTTACGTTGCTCGAGGCTTCAGTCAGCGACAGGGGGTTGACTACTTCCAGACCTTCTCCCCCACCCCTAAGATGACCACTCTTCGGGTGTTGCTGCACGTCGCTGCTCAGCGTGACTACGAGCTGCACTCTCTTGACTTCAACACAACTTTCTTGCAGGGCAGCCTGCACGAGGAGATCTGGCTGCGCCGCCCACCTGGCTTCACTGGGTCTTTTCCTGCAGATACCCAGTGGAGCCTCCGGCGGCCAGTCTACTGTCTTCGCCAGGCGCGTCGAGAGTGGCACGACACATTGAGGACTACACTTGCGGCTCTTGGGTTTGCTCCTTCTACTGCTGACCCGTCGCTGTTTCTACGCACTGACACCTCGCTGCCGCCGTTCTACATCCTCGTCTACGTTGACGACCTGGTCTTTGCCTCTGCTGACACCGAGGCACTGACCCTTGTGAAGTCGGAGCTGCAGAAGAGACACACCTTCACTGAACTGGGTGAACTGCGCAGCTATCTTGGCTTGCAGATCACCCGGGACAGAGCACGGCGCACCATCACCCTGACTCAGTCACACATGGTGCACCAGGTCCTTCAGCGCTTTGGCTTCCAGTTCTATTCGCCACAGCCCACTCCTCTGTCTACCAGCCACTTGCTCTCAACTCCACCTTCGGACGAGTCCGTACAGCCGAGTGGTCCGTACCCAGAGCGTGTGGGTTGCCTCCTGTACCTGATGACGTGCACACGACCTAACCTCGTGTACCCTCTCATCCTTCTGGCTCGCTACGTGGCTCCCGGTAGGCACCGAAAGGTGCATTGGGATGCTTCGTTGGCAACTACTTGTCTGATTCCTGACTTTCTTACTCCACGTACTCATCGGCCAGCACGGCTTCATCCTCTTCCTCCTCCTCCTCCTCCTCCTCCTCCTCCTTTTTCCCTTCCTCCTCCCTCTTGTATCCCTCCGGCAGAGGGGGAGCAGGGATGTTGCCCGAAAGCACCGCCATTGACTCACCTCTCTTGTGTTACTTGTGGACCACAGGCCAGTTGTGGGGCACATACCATATTCCCCCGGATAAAAGACCCTCCTATAATAATGTACCCGGGTCTTTAATACGGGGGGGAGTATATTATTCAGGACTGTTTTCCTTATACCCCCCAATTGGGGTGAAATCATTATAAGACCCCCCCCCCAACCTCAAAAGTGTTTTTTAGAGGTTAATTCATGTCAATTAAGCAAGCAGTGGCACATGGTAGGCCACAAGAGTCACAAAATACAATCAAGGCAGCCTCTCAACATCCAGCTAGCTCCACTCTTCACCCACCACCTTGGAATCCGCCCCCGCCTTGCTATTCATCTTCGTCACCCGCCACCCACTCCTCTACCTCAGCCCCCTCATAGCGACCAGGGGCCCACCATTCATCCCCTTCGTCGCCCCACTCGTCAGCTTCGTTCGCGTTTCCATCCTCGGACTCGCTCGAGTCTGACTTAGCAGGTACTGCCTCCTCATCGGCCTCCTCTGCTTCAGCGGCCAGCACGGCCTCCTCCTCCATCTCGACGGTCACATCGGGAGGGGTGACCACGGGGGTCGGGTAAAACGGGTTGGGGACCAGTTCATCCTGCTCCTCCTCTATCACGTCTTCCAGCACTTCCACCTCGCCGGAATCCCGCATGTGCGCCAGGATCAGATGATCCTGGCTCCCGTCCTCTGCGTTGGAGATGCCCCATGTGAGGAATGCTTTCCTCACCATCTCCTCAGGAACGTCGGCCCACGAGTCGTCAATCCACTTCAGGACGAGTTCGGCCGGCGGTTTCTTCAGGTTGCCTACGGGTTGGGGCCAAGGGTAAGGGATTGGAGGGTGTATGGTTGTGTGATTCGACTGTTCTTACATCGACAACATGCCCCCATTGCTTCATACAAAGGCTTACCTGCGGGAGCTATGCTTGTGATCCCGTCCTCCTCGAACCAGGTGCCGTAGCGGTGTCGGACGCCCGCCTTGAAGGCACGGTTGATTAACACATCAAGCGGTTGCACAAGCGGTGTGCAACCGCCTGGGATCACCGCGCATGTCAGCCTGAAGAGACGCATAGTCTGGCCGACGGCCTCGGTGAGATGTCCTTGATATGAGTCCAGGACGAGGAGGACGTCCTTCCGCCTGCAGCCCTCGTCCCGCAGGGGCCGCATGAAGGGGACGAGGACTTGGGTAGTCCAGTCCTGGACGAGGTTCTCGTCCATCCATCCCCGTACCTGCACACGGATAACGACGCCTGCACACCGCATGATGCACATCAGTCGCATGTACAAGGGTACGAGTAACATGCGTAACGGCCCCTAATGACTCACCTCACGGAACGACGAGCTTCGGGATTGTCTTGCGCTTGAACACCACATACGGTGGCAACTTCAAGCCGCTCGCCGTCACCGCCAGCATAATGGTGAGGCGCTCCTTCTCGTAACCCGCGGTACGGACGTGCACGGTGCGCGCCCCCTTCATCTCCAATGTGCGTTCCTGCGGCATCTCCAGGAAGAGCGGTGTCTGATCGGCGTTAACGATCAGACTGGTGGGGTAGGAGTTCAGGACTTGCATCTGCCGAACAAACTCCCAGAAGGATTCCACCTTGGCCTTCAAATCTGCAAGGAGAGAGAACATAGAAATTGTTAGTCGCGGAACGACATCGATTACACATACGAGCCCAGTTTCCGCGGGCAAATATAGCAACAGGGAAAAAGGACTCACTGTCAGCCAGCTTTTGCCCCATCTTTGTCTTCAGACGCTTTGCCAAGGACCACCGCACGCGGAAACGGAAAGTCCAACGGTTAGACCCGCGCCAGTCGGCCCGAGGGTGTCGGTGCTTCATGTACTGCCGCGACCACTTCTGAAGCATGCTCACAAAGACAGCCAGACCCTTGGCACGGTGCGCCAAAAACTGACGGTAGACGGCCCGCTCCATGAAAGGCCACTTGGCCTTACGACCTGCGCCAACGAGGCAACAACGACACGCCGCTGAAACAAGGAGTCGCTCCTTCAATTTCCGCCATTCGCGAATCTGCTTCGGTTGCACATTAGCTAGCCGCGCCAACCCCCGGATGCTGAGATCGGGCTGCGTGTCTAGCATATCCAGCCAGTACAGCTTCTCCCTCGCCGTGTACGCATGCCGCGCCTTCTTCGCCATACGATGGCGAGGCGAGGCGGGGGGCGCTGCATCCTGGACCTTCTTCTTGCCTTGCGGACGTGACGACTGCGGAAATACGGGGATACGGACTGCGGGAAGGGGGGCCCATGGGGTACGGCTGCTCTGAGAAGTCTCACTCGAAGACGGTAAGTAGTCCTAACACGAGCACGTTGACAGACGGTTGTCGCACGAGGGCGACGGGATTCTGACGTGCCTGAATCGGGCGTTGATACCATGCTGACACCCTTTTTCTGCCTAATGCTATGCCTGGCATTCTTCGCGCTCTGAATTTAATATGCCGTGCTAGTCCCGCTATGCTAGACTTTGCCGAGCTGCGCTCCCCATCGCACAGAGGTGGGTCCATTCCCTGGCGGTGTCAAATTCGCTTGTGCACGAGACGTGAAAGAGATAGCGCGACTCTGTGCTGAGAGCGTCACGTGCCATGCAAGGGATGAGACGTCCGAGGCGGTCTGACACAAAGCATTGGACGTGGTACACGTTGGTCGGCCCCCAATCTGTAATGCTGGTTACCATTGAATATGGGCCAATGAGCATGAAGCATTCAGATGCTTCATAGATTGTGCCCGGTTTCTCAGCTCAGGACATTCACGGGGTGTTTCCTCGTTAAAAAAACGCAAATCTGCATTACAACACCCTTGCATTTCATTATATTTTAAAAAACATAGCACTTATAATAAGACCCGGGTCTTATAGGTTTTTTACAATTTAATAAGACCCCCCACATTTTTTTGTGAAATCAATAACAGCCCCTAGGGTCTTTTATCCGGGGGAATATGGTAAACTAGGTCCCAGAGTTTCTCCGAGCCTAGCTTGTTGCGGCGGGCAGTGTGCACCGACTCCCATGATGCCCACCAGCGCTCACACGGCGAGGCTGACACCGGCTGTGTCAGGGCACAGCACGTAAGGCTGGCAAGGTGGGGGTGGTCAGTCTCGTGCCATCCCCACCACTGCACCATCGAGTGCTTGCCTGCCTTCACGGCCTGCCTGTCGGCAATTGCCTCAGGGAGGCCGAAGGATCCTTCAAGGGTGAGGAAGGCCGTGAGCCCCTCCTGCAAAACAAGAGAGGCCCGCTTCTCCTCACCGTCTTTATTGGTGAAGGTCTTGCCGTCGTAGTGACATGCGATGAACGCCTTCAAGATGCGCGTACATTCCATATCAGTGCGAAATATACCCTCTTCCTGATTTGCCGGGTTCAGGATCCGGCCAACAACGTGAAGAAAGCGAGGTTCTCGTCCCAACGGCACCTAACAATCTTCCCTATCTCAGTCGCATCCGCCCGCGTCAGAATCTTATCCCCCGCCTCCAGCTTGGCCATCATGTCCTAGGTCAGCTGGAGCATGAGGTCATAGATGGTGCCCATCATGCCTTTCGCGTTGCTGTCCGTAGCCCGCATGACCTTGAACGGAAGCGCCAAGAGCTCCACGAGGTATGTTGCCTTCGTCCACCACTCGTCGTCCATGACGTGGCCGCGGAAGGTATCCGCCGCCAGCTTACTTGTCCCCATCCCCCAGTTGGCGTACTCCTCGCGCAGCACCATCTGAGACAACGTCGGCCGCAGCTGGCACAGCCTCGAGAGAGCAATGAAGTTGGTGCCGAACCTGGTCCCCGCCGGCTTCACAAGGTGCTTCCCCTTTCCTCCCTTCACCGCCCCAGTCCTCAGGTAATTGCGGGTGAAATGGTGGTTGTGGACGTAGGTGATCATGTCCCCGCACCGATCCTCCATCAGGAGGTCGCGCACGTGCGTAGCGCACGGCACGTACTCGATGTGCGGCCAATCCGCCATGAGCTCCTTGCAGTCGGCCCTGTAGTTGGAGCCCCCGTCCATGCAAAGAGTGACTACGTTTTCGGGCCCCACTTTCTCGATGATGGAGCGGAGAAGGGACGCGATGTAGCCGCCGGTTTTTTACTCCGTTTTGCAGTCAATAGCCTCGACAAACACAGCTCTCGAATCGTTGATCAGCATGATGTTCGCCTGCGGCCTCCCGCACCGATCGGTCATCAAGTCCGAGGAGACGGTGACGCCATCCCTCTTCCAGCTAGCGGCGATTGGCTGAAGCCCCTTCTCGATGCCCGTGCGGCAAAGCTTCAGCCCAGCCCCTCCCACGTAGTTACGGCGCGGCGCGACATAACCGGGCCCTGCGTTGTTAATGGCCCTGACCATGTTGCGCCACAACAGGTTGTCGGCGTGGTGTATGGAAATGCGACAGCCGGCGAAGAAGATGCAGACAGAGTTGTCCGCCTCGCCCTTCTTGCATTTCGCGTCGTCGCCAATGAAGTCGGTGATGCGGCCTTTCTTCGAACCTCTCACAACAACTTCGAGCGCAGCCTCGTCGGCCCTCCTCTTTTCGTCGCGGTCGGATGTTTTGCAGTCAATAGCCTCGACAAACACAGCTCTCGAATCGTTGATCAGCATGATGTTCGCCTGCGGCCTCCCGCACCGATCGGTCATCAAGTTCGAGGAGACGGTGACGCCATCCCTCTTCCAGCTAGCGGCGATTGGCTGAAGCCCTTTCTCGATGCCCGTGCGGCAAAGCTTCAGCCCAGCCCCTCCCAGGTAGTTACGGCGCGGCGCGACATAACCGGGCCCTGCGTTGTTAATGGCCCTGACCATGTTGCGCCACAACAGGTTGTCGGCGTGGTGTATGGGAATGCGACAGCCGGCGAAGAAGATGCAGACAGAGTTGTCCGCCTCGCCCTTCTTGCATTTCGCGTCGTCGCCAATGAAGTCGGTGATGCGGCCTTTCTTCGAACCTCTCACAACAACTTCGAGCGCAGCCTCGTCGGCCCTCCTCTTTTCGTCGCGGTCGGATGTCTTCTTCTCGTAATGCGTGCGCACCGCCGATGTTGTTCCGTGACTAACAATTTCTATGTTCTCTCTCCTTGTAGATTTGAAGGCCAAGGTGGAATCCTTATGGGAGTTTGTTCGGCAGATGCAAGTCCTGAACTCCTACCCCACCAGTCTGATCGTTAACGCCGATCAGACATTGCTCTTCCTGGTGTTGAGTGCAAATTCACATTGCACGACATCCTGCCGTCTGCTTGTACGAGTATGCGTGTGCGAATGCATTTGGGTGTGAATGGAATGTTCGTGTGTTTGTTTGCTTTCGCAATTTTCGCTTGATGCATTTGCAGGTACTCGTGCAATGTGCGCTTCGGCACAACATTGTACGCGCTATGAACAGTGCAAGCAGAAAGGACGAGCTTGCAAAGGAACCCAAGATGGAAGCTTTGCAGTTCGGTTGAATTGACTGCGCAGATTCAGTTATATCCAACTCGAAATTGTACTGTTTTTTTTGGTTGACTAGAGTAGCAGGGCAGGCACTATAGGGGTACAATTTAGGTGAAGGTTGGATGTTTTTTGTCTGTATCTGCATGCTACAGGGCCAGGGGAAACCAGCGGAACCAGCATTTGGCTTGTTGGGCAAAGACAAAACAGGTTCTGTTTTTAGGACCTGAACCTGGTTGTCGTTTTCCCAGGTTGGAAAAACAGAACCAGAGGTTGTTTACCAACCTACCACCTGCTGTTTTGTCCAGCCAGGTTGGTTCTGTTGCTTGGAATTATTTGGGATTATCCCTGGTTGTTCCCAGGTTGATTCCCAAGGTCCTTGCTAGCAAGAACTATATATTCCTTCTCTGTTTGTACCTGAACATATTAAAATTGATTCAAGCGAATTCCTTCCTTGCTGGGATTTCGTATCGACACGGTTCGAGGGCAGAATGCTACCGAGTCAACGCTAGTACGCTAGCACTACGACGCTAGGCCAACGCTGTCCAATTCGTAACTCTGCAATGGCAGAAATTTTCGCGAGGCAACTTGGCTCTTTTGAAAGCTCTTAGAGTGAGCTTCGATATAGCGAGTTCTCAGCTTAATCTGATCGACGGTCTGCACGGCACGCTGCGCGACGTTCAAGGTACTCTTGCTGTTTTGACTAAGTCCCTCTTGATCCCTCTCTCTACAAACTCGGACCCGAGGATAGGGGCTGGTCTTGTACCAAGCACCCAGGGACCCTTGGAGGTGACCCCGAGGAGAGGTTCTAAGTTGGATAACGTCTTAATAGCCTGAGTTTATTAGGCCCTTACACCAACAAGCTGGTATCAGAGCTGCGTTATAGTGATCCTCGTCATAGTTAGCTATGGCGGGAAATACCTCGGCGGGAGCTGGTGAATCTGCAGCCCAAGATCGTAGCGGTAGCCAGGATTCTGGTATTTCGGTGCCAAGGGGAGCGCGAACAAACCAGGGCTCGCTGATCAAGGAGGTGCTGAAGAACTTCACCGTCGAGAAGTTCAATGGTGAGGGCTATGATGATTGGGCCTGGAAAATGCAACTTTACTTCCGTCAGATTGGATTGCTGACACTAATGATTGGGGAGGAGCCTAGACCGAGTGACCCCGCGCTGCAGGAAGATTGGGACGAGCGCGCCTCGGCTGGCTACTACTTGATGTCGCAGAGTTTGGAGCTGAACCAGCGTCACCACGTCATGCACCTGCTGCCGGAGGTTGATTGCGGTCCGAAGGCGTGGACCGTGTTGAAGGAGCTGCACGCCCCGACCTCCGTTGTTGCAACGTTGATGCTGGAGAGGGAGCTGTCCGCGTTGCGCTTGAGCGAGGGAGAGCCGGTGCAACCTGTTTTGGACAAAATGCGCGACCTCTACGCGAAGTTGGTGACCGCGGGAATCACCTACCCGGAATCGTGGCTTCAATTCACGAGCGGATTGAGCCTGCCGCAGAACCAGAGCTTGTGGACGCTCGAGTGGGTGCGGACGAAGATTCTGGAGGAGGACTTCCGTCGCCGCCAACTGAGGGGTGGAGACGACGGCAGCAGCGGCTACGGGATGCAAGGGAGCTGACGTGGCAGAGGACGTGGCTTCGGTGGTGCTGGATGCAGTGCAAAGAAGGACGACGACTCCAACGACCAACAAGGAGGTACCGGTTGGGGTCGCGGTGCGAAATCTGGACGTGGGGGCAAGTCGGGTGCTGGTGGCAAACTGAAAGGGAGTTGCTGGTATTGTGAGAAGGAGGGGCACCCCTGGTTTTTGTGTTATAAGAAACCCGATGGATGGACCCCCCAGAATCGTCACCAGGATGGCGGCGCGCGGAGGAACCAGAAAAACGGCGCGAACATGGTCGCCGATTCGTCCGACAACAACCCGAAGAGCAACGGCGGTGCAGAGAAGAAGAAGGAGCACACCGCGGGCCAGCTCTTCCATATTGGACAACAGGGGGAGCAAGGAGACGCCTCTGCAAAGGTTGGAGCAGAGCTGCATCCCCTGGACTATTGGGTGTTGGACACAGGCGCTGCTTGGACGATGACGCCGCGCAAGGAGCTGCTTTATGACGTACGAGCTGCACTGATCAATGAGGTGTGCTCTGCCTCTAGACACGCGCTGAAGGTGGCTGGTGCGGGACGAGCTGCATTCAAGGGAGCGGATGGCAAGCCGGTGGTGCTGCACGACGTTCTCCTCGTTCCTGATCTCAAGGCCAACTGTTGGTGTAAGGGCCTAATAAACTCAGGCTATTAAGACGTTATCCAACTTAGAACCTCTCCTCGAGGTCACCTCCAAGGGTCCCTGGGTGCTTGGTACAAGACCAGCCCCTATCCTCGGGTCCGAGTTTGTAGGGAGAGGGATCAAGAGGGACTTAGTCAAAACAGCAAGAGTACCTTGAACGTCGCGCAGCGTGCCGTGCAGACCGTTGATCAGATTAAGCTGAGAACTCGCTATATCGAAGCTCACTCTAAGAGCTTTCAAAAGAGCCAAGTTGCCTCGCAAAAAGTTCTGCCATTTTAGAGTTACGAAATGGACAGCGTTGGCCTAGCGTCGTAGTGCTAGCGTACTAGCGTTGACTCGGTAGCATTCTGCCCTCGAACCGTGTCGATACGAAATCCCAGCAAGGAAGGAATTCGCTTGAATCAATTTGAATATATTCAGGTACAAACAGAGAAGGAATATATAGTTCTAGCTACCAAGGACCTTGGGAATCAACCTGGGAACAACCAGGGATGATCCCAAATAATTCCAAGCAACAGAACCAACCTGGCTGGACAAAACAGCAGGTGGTAGGTTGGTAAACAACCTCTGGTTCTGTTTTTCCAACCTGGGAAAACAACAACCAGGTTCAGGTCCTAAAAACAGAACCTGTTTTGTCTTTGCCCAACCAGCCCAATGCTGGTTCCGCTGGTTTCCCCTGGCCTTGTAGCATGCAGATACAGACAAACAACATCCAACCTTCACCTAAATTGTACCCCTATAGTGCCCGCCCTGCTACTATAGTCAACCAAACAAAACAGTACAATTTCGAGTTGGATATAACTGAATCTGCGCAATCAATTCAACCGAACTGCAAAGCTTCCATCTTGGGTTCCTTTGCGAGCTCGTCCTTTCTGCTTGCACTGTTCATAGCGCGTACAATGTTGTGCCGAAGCGCACATTGCGCGAGTACCTGCAAATGCATCAAGCGAAAATTGCGAAAGCAAACAAACACACGAACATTCCATTCACACCCAAATGCATTCGCACACGCATACTCGTACAAGTAGACGGTAGGATGTCGTGCAATGTGAATTTGCAGATGGATATATCAACGGCATTCCTCAATGGGATTTTGGAGGAGGATGTGTACATGACGCAGCCGCCTGGGTATGAGGATGGTACGGGCAGGGTGTGCAAGCTGAAAAAATCCATCTACGGTTTGAAGCAGGCGCCACGCTGCTGGTACCAGAAGTTGGCAGCTGTTTTAGAGGAGATGGGATTCAGGACCAGCAGCTGTGATGAGAGTCTCTTTCTCAAGGGGGAGGGGGAGAAGCTGGTGCTGAATCTAGTCTACGTGGATGACATTCTTCTCTTCAGCAGCAGCATGAAGGAGATCTAGAAAGTGCAGCAGCAGCTGATGAAGAACTTCAAGTGCAAGACCCTTGGGGAGGTAAAGTACTACCTCGGGATGCACGTGGAGAGGGATCTGGATCACAGGTGGTTGAAGCTGCACCAGGAGAAGTTCATCAAGGAGCAGGGGGAGAAGTATGGGATTGAGAATGAGCGCAAAGTTGCAACTCCCCTGCCAGCAGAATTCAAGCTTGTGAAGGCACCAGAGGATGAAGGGGTTGAAGCCGAGGAGCAGCAGCAATTTCAGTCCTTGGTGGGCAGCCTCTTGTATGCCGCGGTTCAT